TTTTTTTTCATATACCTTAGATCTGAAAATGTAAGATTTATAAAACAATTGGGTAAACAGATACAGATATGACAGCGCTACAACAAAGACAAATTTTAAAATCTCAAAAGTACTGTTACATGGTTGTTCGTTTAAAAGCAACCAATACATCCAACACGTAAGCAATAACGCAAACAACATTTGTGCAACTTGATTTGCAGTAATAAACATGGCAATTGTTGAAGAAATTTTAATACCCATGCATTTTACAGTAAAATAGGTATACATTAATGAATGTACATAGAGATTAACGTAGACAATCATCATTAGAAAGGTCGATCGTTTGTAAGAAGCATACCATGAAATAATCAACATAGTTGGATGATGATAACAGTGAAGGAACATCAATTTTCTTTTATGAAGTATTATCATAATTGTATCTCCCAATTCCCAAACTTTCGAAAACGCAAACAGTGTAGCCCAAAACAGAAGCGGTGGTGTATTATCTACAATACTCTTGTTACAAAGTATTTCGTAAAAAGTAAAGTGTTTAAATTGTTCGAAAAAAATTGGAATTAATCGAATTGAGCTGCAAATACTGTAAACAGCCAAAAACCCGTTCCATATGGTGAATGCACGATTGAAGTTATAAGGAGGTCGATCTTTCATGTAACGCTGAAGGATCTTGATGGCCAGTACATAGAGGATAGATATGTAAGTGGAATAATGCCAGTAAGTGCGAAAGAAATTTTTCACAGCACCAGCAGTGAAAACTGTTTCGAAAATCAGAGGTTCGACTGGAATCGTTTTGTTGTAATTTTTCATTCTTGAATAACGTCGAAATGCTAAAAATAAGTCAAACAGTTGAATAATATTAGTTTATATTGAATTAAATCTTGTTAATAAATAATTACATAAACTTTAAAAGTTATATAGGATTTATTTTAAAATGTTAAGTATCACAATACTTAATTCATTTATATAATTTATATGCAATAAATAAACGTTTAAATGTGTAAGAAAAGTCTTCGTTTATAACCTTTGCATATTTTAAATTTAAGCATACATAGTATACAAATGTAGACTTCTACACACCAAAGCACATGCTGAGCTTACTGCAATTATTATTCAAACGTTTACAGCCTATTCTTATAAGCTATCCTCAAAAAGTCATCGTTCCACAAACGAAGAGATCGAATCTGTAGAACGATAATTTCCTGAGGATAGCTTATAAGAATAGGCTGAAAGCGTTTGAATATTAATTAAATTGCAGTAAGCTTAGCTTGTGTTTTGGTGTTTAATTTAGTTGTAAGTAAATCGCTGAAAAAGTGAAAATAGAAGCGTTTTACTACTGACGAGAAATTACGTTTACAGTAAATATAAATTAATAATAAATTTTTACTTTGTGAAAATTGATATTTTATTTAAAACGTATTCTCTAAAGTATAGTTCTTCATTATTAACATGAGTTGAAATAAGATTTTTAACAGTTTTAAATTATATTTCTTTTTGTCCTTATCATATAGTTTATTACGTGAAATGTCTATTAGGACTTATTTTAATTATAAGACTTATTATACCGATTACTATGGTTTTGTAAATTTAATAAAAATAATCAGAAAAAACATTTCTTATTTTTGACCTGTACACCTTTTACGCAATATTACTGTCTTTTAAACTTGCTGATCTCTCATTAGCAAGTTTACAACCAACAATTTCTAAAATAAATTGTTAAATTTGTAGTAATTTATGTTCAGAAGAATACAGTTTAGTAAATACAGTAGTTTGGTGTTACTATATATTATTACATTAAAATTTTATATATATTTACGATTGAAAAAAAATATATACGTTACTGTAAATGCTCGAACTATGGTAAATTCTAAGATCGTCCAGTAAAACCTAAGATTTACCAAATCTTTGTGGTAAAAGTCGGAAATGTTCTGCGATCATCGCTAATTTCGAACTTTTACCAGCATTTACTCAGTATATCTTAGGTTTTACCTCAGAGACATGGTAAATATTGAAAAAAATAGTCCCCGCTTTTCGCACCGCACCGCGTCGCCGCCTTTGCTCGCCTCATTCCATCGTTTGACACGTTAGAACACGCACGTTACTTCTAATCTTGTTTGAGATTTCGTTGTCTAAAAGTTAGTTATGAATCAAGATGAGTATGGAACGGAGATTTTATGAAATAATGGACGACCTCGTTGCAAGCAAGAAAGATAATAACTTTTATCTTAATAGGGACAAATACGCAAAGTGTTTGGAGGAAGTAAAAGCTGCAAAGAACATGAAAAAGAAACAAGCTGTTCATTACAGGCGTATAAAGCGTTACGACATTTCGACTATAGGCGGCGAAGAGGAACTAATTGCACCTATGAAGGAGGAGGATGGAGAAATAAGGTATTACATTTGTTATGAGGACTTATTCAATATTCTCGAAGAAACGCGTGTTGCTGTTGGCCACGGTGGAAGGACACGGATGCTTAAGGAATGTAACCGTAAGTATAAAAATGTAACAGTTGAGGCTACTATGACATATTTGAAGCTATGTCAACCTTGCCAAAAGAAACAGAAGACTTTGAAAAAGGGCATTGTCGTCAGACCTATACTTCACAGTGAAATGAACTCACGCTGTCAGGTTGATCTAATAGATTTACAAACTACCCCAGATGGAAATTATAAATTTATTTTAGTTTACCAAGACCATCTTACCAAATTTGTGATCCTTCGTGCGCTTCAGACTAAACGCGCCGTAGAAGTTGCATACCATCTTTTGGATATTTTCACCACTTTTGGAGCGCCGAGCATCCTTCATTCCGATAATGGTCGAGAATTCTCTAACCAAGTTATTGAGAGTTTATGCTCCATGTGGGCGGATGTAAAAATCGTACATGGAAAGGCAAGACATAGCCAAAGTCAAGGATCAGTGGAGCGTGCTAATCAAGACATAGAAAATATGTTGAGTACGTGGATGGAAACCAATCAGTTATCAAAGAGATCAGAGGGTTTAAGATTTATCCAGGCAATGAAAAATAGAGTATATCACGAGGGAATCAAATGTTGCCCCTAAGAGGCAATGTTTGGTTGTCCAATGAAAATGGGCCTTTCAACTTCAGCAATCCCTAGTGATATGATTAGAGTTATAAGATCTGAAGAAGATTTAGAAAAGTTGTTGCATTCGCATGACAATATGGAACAAAATAATGACGTCGAAAATGCAATCGAACAGGACAAGGAAGAAAGCATTGTTGAAAATGAGTCAGAAGGGGATATAGACAATAGCGCTCTCAACGATAAAACACAAGAAGATGAAATGATTATTACTGAGAAAATGAAGGCGAAGCAAAGAACCGATGATTCCAATGTAACGATTCAGAGCGATACCGATTCAGAGACAGAAAACACGATTGAGTCTCAGGAAGTTCTTGTAACTGTAGAGCCCATACGAAAAAAGATAGAATTTGTAGTGACTGACTATAAGAAACAACGCAAAATTGAATTTGGAAAAACAAGCTGAAAAAATGAAAGCCACGTCTGTTGATAAATATCCAAATGTGAAAATTGGCCAAAATGTAAGACTGAAAGTGCCTGAAATTGACAAAGCTAAAACCGACCCGAAAAGCGTTATTGCAGTTGTAGTAGATGTAAAGGACAACGAGTTTTACCAACTAGATACCAAAATTGGAGTACTAAAGCAGCTTTACACACAAAATCAATTTACCTGAAGATTTTATCAAGATAGAAGAAGTTGTTAAAGATAAAGAAGCGAGTCTTTGAGAAGTTGTCACAAAATTGTCTTTCACTGGAGGACAAGGTTTCAAGAAATGCAACTGCCTGAAAAAATGCGTAATGAAGAAGTGCACTTGCAAGTCATCAGGATTACTTTGTAATTCTAAATGCCATGATAGCTCTCCATGTTGTAACAAGTAAAATCCTTTTTTTACTTTTATTAAATGACAATGAATACCAAATGATTAGAAAAAATACTGTGATTATTGATTAGTTTAGCCAACATAAGCTATTATATTATTTTTGACAAGATAATTTAATTTTTTGTTATGTTAAAAAAGTATTTTTAAACTGTTTCACTAGTTATTAATAAATAGGACTTAGTAAGTTGACTGTTTATAATAATTGCAATAAATGATTATTAAAATACTCATAGTTTTATTTCCAAAACCAGCATTTACTAATCGTCTTTAGTAAAACCTAGCATGTACCAAATTCTAATGGTAAAAGCCCGGAAAATCATCTCACTTTATAAAAATCCTTACATTTACCAACTCA